GCGCACGGGTGCGCGCCTTTGAAGTCTAGACGGCGATAAAGGAAGTTAAGAGCCAGAACTTGACTCGGCGTAAATGGTAGTACAACACAGTGATAGGCAGTAATCAATAATTTTTAGCTCTGAGTGGGCTCCACCAAAAGAACAAACATTGCAAATTTTGCCAAGCTGATCAATTGAAATCCTTGCTATTCTTTCTCCATTCTGTTTCCCTTTGTTATTACCTAACATAAGTAAGCCTTTTGTTGTCTTTCGAAAATACATTAACATGTAAAAATATCTTAAAAGTCAGTGAGCTAAACCCTTGCTACTTACGCAGCTCTTGATTTATGAAACGCTGATTTAAGCAGTCCTGTAGAATGCAGTCATTATTATCATCACTCGTTGCACCAGTGGGCGCATAAGGCCATCACATTGTCCGCCCAACCTCCCCTGTCGCTCGCCGCCAACTTGGCAACATTCCAGCTCTTCTACCCCGCCTTGCCTCTCTCTCTTTCAACAGTCCTTCTCCAAGTGGTCTTTGGTCTCCCCCTCGCCCTTCGACCTTCTGGAATGTACCCAAATATTTTTCCTCTTCGTTCAAAAGGGGCACCGACAGTGAACAAAAAGTTGCTATCGGCGTACAGTTACCTGACAGAAACTGAAAAAAAAAAGTCTGTCAAAGCGCAAAAATAAAATTTCTTGACCAGAGGAAACAGTTGACAGAAGAGTATGATCTTTCCACGCGTTGAACTGAGACCATAATAGAGGATTTTACTTCGCGCTTTTGTTGCAGTTGAACATATCAGGTTAAAGATGTCAAGGGAAAGATTTTTTAAAGGTCTTGTTGGTTGCGGACTTGACCTTTTAAAGGTCCGCTGACAAGTGCTGAGTTCGGGGTTTCACATAAATGAAACTTAAAGCCCACAAGAATGATTAGTATTTCATTTGGCCTTGAAGACACTTAAAATTCTCATTAAGGGTGAATATATGAGGACACACTTATTTACGAAAGGAATTTCGTCTCGGAATTACACATGGCGCGCCATATTAGGATTATGGCGCTCGGAACATGACAATCAACAAGAGATAACTTGAGGGTAAACAAATCACGCACTTTTACCTGACGCAAATCATATGAAGCGCGGACAGATTTGAGAACTACGCGGCTTTGGATAAACACCGACGGTGATTGCCTGACTTAAACAATATTGTAAAAAACAGCTGAATGGATAAAGACGAAAGCAATATGTCCTTTGCCCGCTGCTGAACCTATAAGCTCATTACAGAGATGGCAAAATTTCGAGATGTCAGATGTTAACTTTTGACTTGCGTGGGAGTTCACAGACACTTTTGTGAAATCTGAATTTTCTCGTCCAAGGTGAACATTTTCACGGCCTCACTTTGTCAAGAAGAGAGCCACTCTCCCTGAAAAGTACTTGGCGTGCCATAACTCCGCAAAGGCACAATTAGAAAAACCGCACTTTATTCATAATTTTATACGGTTACAATTAAAGCCAAAACAAATGACGGATTTTTTGTTCATCACATGGTAATGTTGATGTTGATGATAATGATGACAACATTTGTACAGTCTAAAGTCTATAAATCACAAAGAATCCTACAAAAATTTACAGAGAGCAAGAAACGTCACATGTAACAAAAATGGCATTGATTGCTAAAACGGCGAGACAGTAAAAACATTAAAAAAAATTGCAAACAAATGAAATATTAAAACAACTGAAACAATTCGTATTCTAGTCTAAAGAGTTGTGTCTATCTCTTTCCTTTAAGGACGGTAGCATTTGATCTTATCTCAGGGGCACTTTGTTCCACAAGAATGGCCCACAAATCGTAAAAGGCGCGATCACTGAAAAGACGCCTTGTGTATAGCTCTTGGGACTATAAGGGGGCTGTATCTCTGAGAACGTGTGCAAAAGCTTTAGTTTTCCGGGAGGTTCAGGAAAATTAAGATGCTTTGATCAGATAAGATTACTTTGGAGAGACTGCCAATGCGCTCCGCCTAAAAGAACCGGCATCTTAAAACTAACCGCAATGTCTACAGCTGAATCGAACCTAGCATGGGGCCTGTGTCCATTAAACAAGACAAAGAGTTATTTACCTACAACAAAATGGTCTTACAGTGAAGGTTTTAATGTCTTTGTCATCTGATGAGAGACATTTTAATCATTTGTTGTTAAAAAACAACAACAGTATCTATTTTTTTAGAAGCCTTAAAGTGTCTGTTATGGATATCCGTTAGCAGATGGTTACATGATTTGACCAAACTTCATGCAAGTTTTATTCCTGAAGAATTTTTTATTAGAAGCGTTATGATTTCTCGTTTTCGCACGAGATCAAAAAACCAAAGGCTTTTGTTCTCAGGTAGGAGAAACACTGGAGTTAGCAAACACAATATTCAGAGCCTGGGTAGATTATGGGAGTTTGGCAAACTTCCACCTTCCTATTCACGAAGATCATGTTCACACAGCCTAAAATATTTCCTTATCTCATATTTTTTGTGCGTGATTGATGAAATTAGTTCTACATATATTAGTCGTTATTTGTTTGCGGGATACGAACGGTTTAAGGTGTGAACTGACCTTTTCCGGGTCGAGCGTCAACATTAAGCCGCATTTGCCAACCCTTTTTTGGGCACGTGAGCTCCAGTACACTCCCCTGAGGCAAGTAATAAGAGGGGAGGGGTTAGGGGTCCATGAGAATTCTACCGATCTCTGTGCTCCACATTTTCGGATAAACTCTCAGACTTCCACTAGGGATCAATATCTCAATTTTTTAATCGTAACATACCTTCAAGCAAGCAAAAAAGGTGATGAGATTGATTCAGAAAATAATCAACAAAGATACATTTCGTTATCGCAACAAACTTTCTAAATGTTAACTAAACAAAGAAATATAAGTATATTAATTGGCTGAATTAGGTTTCAGATGTTGTGGGAAAAATAAAATTGAGTGGTGCTGCTGGACACTAAACGTCGTTGCTATGGGCTAAGGGAGCGATGAACGAGTGGTTGCCAAAGGAGCTGCCATTTTTGGCTTTGAGAACAGGACATATGTTCTTCATAATTTTGAGGAGGTATTTCGCTAAGATATACACACGACGTTCTATCGGTTTACAAGCGTCAGTTCGCGCGCTGTATATTGATCGTGATTAACGTTTTTGATGTTCTTGCAAAATTTGTGGTAAACCGACTGAAAGAGCGCTGTGGTACTCTATTAACATTTGCAGCTGAGATTGTATGTTATAGTTCTCTGTCGGTAAATTAGTATATTGTACGGTAGATTTTTGACGAATCAGATCGCGTTTAGTACTGTGGTTAATTTTTCTAAGTTGATAAACAAACGACAAACGGTCCATCTCTCTTTCCCAAGGTGACAAATGAATAGTAATAAACACAATAGTTAAAATAATAATAATAATAATAATAATAATAATAAAAATGATAATAATAACGATAACGATATGACAAAAATGATGATAATGATAACGGACCAGTGAGCAACTTTGCCCTTACCCCTCCCCTAACCCGGCACAATCCTCACCAGTAACTTGTTATCAGTTGACTATTGTTGGGGTTAGGGGAGGGGTAGCTAAGCCGTTACTCAGATACTGACATTGATCCATGATAACGAAAATGGTAATAATAATTAATAGTAATAATAATAGTAATAATAATAATAATAATAATACAGGTTTAAGCTTCATCACCAACTATCGTGGTCAGGATCTGGGCATCCAGGTCCCGGTTGTTCGAAGGTCAGATGACACTATCCACTGGATAAATCTCTATCCAGTGGATAACGCTATATGTTTGGTTGTCATTTATCCGCTCGATAGCAATTTATCCGTAGGGTAGCATAATCCGCCTTTAATACAATTGGGCCCTGAAGTTTTACACTGCCATAATACTAATGAGGACAATAGTATTGTTTTATTTAACACTTCCAGTGGGTGGCTTCAGCAATAATAACGAAAATAAATAATTAACGAAATAAATAACTAAATACTCCGAAATATTTCGTAGAGTGCGATAGTTTGAGGCAGCCTCCTAAGCAAGTAGTATTCTAAACCCTGGATCCGTCTGAATACGCTTTTACTACATGCTAGCTGTTAGACAACAATTAAGATTAAAGGTCAGAAAATGGAAGATTAATGAATAGATTCCATACTGCCGTGCATCTGTCCCACTGTTCAGTAACAGATCAAACTTGACGTTGAGATGTGGTAAGAACAAACAGATAGCACACGAGGCGCTACTGCGAGTTTCACTGATATCCTGAACATATTACAACCCCTTCTGTGACTTACTACTACACGTACAGACGCACGGCAAAATAGAATCTGTTTGTTTTATACAATAAAGAAGGAAAATTTTGTTAGTCGTGACGTCATTTCAAAGTAAGTCCTCCGATACAGAGGTCAAATAAACAAATTCGCGAACAAGATTGTGTATTTTTCAGCTTATTTTTTAAGACGAAAATAGAAGATGCCACTAAGACCAACGGATTGAATGAATACTCGCTTCGTTTCAGACAAAAAGAGCCTTTTTAGTTGAACGATGAGATTTGCTTCGTGCCGGAGGATTTTTCCTGTATAAACCGCATTAACGTCGAAAAAAAAATTGTATTAAAGAAGCCGTCTCTAAGCCAGCTTTTCAATAATCACTTGATAAGTGGCTCTGAAAGGTTATGAAATTAACGCAAAGTTCAGAAGACAAATTTGTGAAAAGCAACCTTCACAAACACGATGAGAGGCGTTATAGAAAAGTCAGCCATTTCGAAATTTATCACTTAATGTAATCCTTTATTCATTTCAGAAAAAGTGAGATTTCGTGAGAATTTTCAGTAGTATCATCTTGGAGACGGAGAACTTTGCAATACACGTGAACTTTTCTAAGTCTTAAAGACGGAAGGATTGTGGCCCAATGGAGATCCGAGCTTTCAAAGAAAGTCACGAAAATGTTAATAAGGGTTTAGACATCGTATAAGCTCAATTTCAAGTGGCGACAGACATATCCTTGCATCGGTCACAAAAGCCAACTTGTTCTCGTTTTCGACTCAAACTGACGCGTTTGTTCTGTGTCTTTCACTGTGACTCGAGTTCTTCTGTGGTCTGCTATTGTGCCTTCGTGTCCGAACGATCGAGGACAACTATTTCCTTCTCTTCAGGTAAGAAACACTCAGCTCTGGATTTTCTTTTTAATATCTAAGTAGATCAACTTAGATTGAACGATAATTTTCGGGTTTGCCTTATCAAATCTTTAAATCATCTTTTAAGCTCGATGGCGACAAATTGCATGGTTCAACGGGCTTTGCTCATGTTTATCTGGATTCTAAAATAGTTTGGGAAAGGAGTGTGAGAAAATTTGGAAAATGCAGTGATATTGTGTTTACTTAGAGAAAGCGGGCCATCGGTCGCGAAATAATCGGGTGTTTTCTGTTTTTACTGGCCGGGATTACGGAGCAGCCGCCAAATCTCTGTCATAATATAACCAAGTGGTTATTTGAGGCCACACGGCAAACACGTATGTCCATTTTTAAAAATATGTATTAAAGTTGTCTTGTCAAATGGTCAAAATCCTCCAGAAGATGTCCATACATGGACCGTTATAAACGCAACGACGAAGAGAACGCTTTAATCCGGTTTAAATAAACAAATTCAAAGCCAACCAATTATCTTAGAGTGGAATTGATTATTCATTAAATTTACTGGGACACCAAAATCACATTAACACACGACGAGCTAGACAAAGCGCCACAACCCTACGAATTCATGCCGCGCAGCATGCATGCAGCATGCATGCATCACGAATGACAGTGAGTTGTTCCACGCCCAGCCTTTTCCTTGTAAATTACACAAAGGTTACCATGGAGATGGAAAGCTCCGTCTTCGAAGGCGCGTAATGATGCCAAAAAGCACTGATCTCATTCTCACGGATCGTGGTGGAGGTCTGCGCTATCTTTTCATGGAACTCCCTCATAAATTCGATTTAATTGGATTTATTTGAACATTGAATCAATCATACTTGTAATTTACCATTCGGCGTCCATGATAAATCCGTTATCTTAGACTCGATCATCTGTTGAGTTCACTAAAATATCAATAAATTTGTGCCGTAACCATATATTGCGTGAAATAACTCTAAATACACATCAATTAATGGCGTCTAGGTTAATAAATAACAATAAAGAGGGCTTCCCTTTTAAATCAATGTTGACCTTGTTTTGAATTATGTTCGATCATTCAAGAGGTTAACGCTGAATGACGATACTCAATCCAGGCTGGACCTTCTTTATGGACAAGATATTTTCTTTTCTATTTTTTTTTCGGTGGAACGCAAAAATGAAAAGCAAGGTTCGGCAGGCGGGACAACTCCGCCCGAAGACTGTTGCACTCCTGGCTCCTGAGAATAGGAATGCCTGATCGCATGTTCTACCTCAAAAAAAGAACGCCTGATCGTGGGTTAGACTAAACCAGGCGCGTTAACACACGTATAAGATATTGCAGAAGATTGATATGGGCTGAACAGAATACTTGTATAATTCACAACGGATTACAGAGATCTTGATGGTATGGTACGGACGAAAAGCTCTTAAAAAGATGAATTTCTATTTTCAGCACCAGAAAACTAATTATTAATTAATAATTTTTAAGCCGGAACTTTAAGAGCAGACGCCGTAAAGGCGATTTCATGAAATGCACAGCACAAAACAAATCTGATTCAGCAAATTCTTTCATTTGATAGGCTTGCATTACAAATAAAATCTGTTCCAGTTGCATGCATCATTGCCCTTTTCATGTTTATTGCCTCTCGTAAATCGTGTTGCTGTGGTTTTTGACCCAGCACGCTATCTTTCAAAGGTGACCAATCTTAATAAGATTGTCAAATTGAACGCGTTCAAAATGTTTCCTAAAGTTAACTATCACACTTCAAATCCAATTCCCTAAGCAAAAAGAAATGACCCTTTCTTTGCCTTCGGTCACCTGTAGCTAGACAGTGATAGAACGTACCTAACGCATGTGCATGGACTCTGACGAACTCCTCTCGAAGTTAAATCATTGACAGGTCTAAAACAAAAATAAAAAAAAAAACTTATTATGGTTTTTGAAAAGAGCGGAAAGAGAGCACATGAAATTACAGTTAAAAGTAAGCCCTATCAATGAGATAAATTTACTTCACACACAAAATTACACTGAAATGCCGAAAAGTTCTATAGAGGTACACGATCCCTAAAACAGAGAATTGTTGATAAGAGCTTCACTGGGTTTCTGACGATTGTGGAGACAACCACCGCAAAACAATAAATTTTGGCAAAAGTTTCACACGCCCAGAAGAATTTATCATTATCTTTGCTGACAGATATTAAGGCGATAACGTAAACATTGGTAAAAAAGAAGGGTGAATGCCTGCCAACCTTTGAAACTTGACACGTGAATTTTATTAATTCCAAGCGTATAATGTAGTTTCGATATGCTTCAATACTTTATCTGTCTTAAAATGAGGTTTATTCAGTAATTACGGACTGTCTGGTGACAACACTGTATCACATTTTGTTATTTGGTCCTTGTTAAGACTGACAGAGAGCTGAATGTTTCGTGCTCGTTCTTCAAGGACCCTCTTCACACGTCAACATATCTTCATTGATCATTTCAAGAGAATTAATCTAACTTAAGTGATTGTTACTTATAGCCGTCGCAAAAAGTCACGATAGTGCCTTTCCGAAAAACAAATAAACCTCGAATGGCTTTTTCATTATAGTTTTTCTTACCCCAATAAATAGCCATAATCTTTCTGAACGGAGACAGATTGAAACTTCTGAAAGGAAAAGAAAAACAAAGCGAATAAACGGATAAATACACTTAATTGGCTTCATTAATTCACTCTAATCAGCAGAATGCTCGTAGCTTGAGGTAGTAGCACCTTTCGACGTCATTTTTTTATATTTGCTAAAGAGCGTTATTGAATCCAGTCCAAGGTTACAGTAATTTACGAGCCCCTTTAAATTCAGCAATAGCACTATCACACGTAGCACTACAAGCTGGCTATCTAAGGCCACACACTGAAATCCAGAACATAAAGTGATACGAAACGAGACACCATCTTGCCGTAGGCTTTCAAGCGAAAGAATGTTTGTAAACTGTCACCTATCACTAAATGGTCCATAGTTCCGGTTTAGAGTTCGATTGCCCATTCAAACGATGAAAACAAAGTTAAGATGAACTTTGGGTTTCCGTTACACATTTCATTCAGGAATTGAGTCGAACTTTGACAACTTGTAAATTTACGTTCCTGTGGAAGAGATCGTCGTGCTTGACGACTCAAATGAAAGCTTTAGAGCAATACGCTCATATCATGTAGAATTTTTACCATGCACAGATAGGTCGTGAAATATTTCTTGGGTTCAATTTTGATCCTACGAAAACATGCTGTTTTTTATCATGCTGTAGGGTTTTTTTTCATCTGAACATTCGTTTCAGATCGTTGTGTTATCAGACACGGTGTAACAGCCATGAATCAAAGGCGGCGAAAAATTCTTCTAGTTGTTGATAGGTGTACCATACTTCCGAATTTCCTTTTTCCTCGTGTATTGTATATATTATGTCGGTCTGGTCGGGACTAGAATAGATTTAGTGAAAAATAGTTTATAATTTCCAAAACAAACGTTTCATATGATCAAGGTTTTATATACACGCCGAATGATTATGAGATTTTGAGCAAAGAAAGCAAGAATACTTCTCAAAGTGAGAACCTTCGATAAACTTCCAGAGTCCATTGTACAAGGAATCCGACCTACCCTCACTCCCCTCCCGTTGCTCCACCATTTGTTATCATCGGTATCCCAGGCTACAATTGGCTAATCACCGAGTAACAACTTGTCATTTGCGACGCCATAATATCTTATTTCCCGATCTTTTGTTTGTAACGGAATTACCAGTTGACCCGAGTGGCTGAGACTTGCGTCAAATGAATTGGCGAGAAAAGATCTAGTTACGGCTTAGGGAGAAATAGTTTGAATTAAATGGCTGTAGAACTAAGTGACATGTAAGGCCGATCTTTCTGCGAGTCTGGACTTGCTTCTAAGGATAAAAGGTAAGTGAGATTCTGCGCCGTGATAGAACTAACAGTTCCAATTCGTATGAAGAAGAACTCATTAATCAAAAAACCTGCCGCAACTGACCGAAAAATTTCCGTCATGCCACAGCCGGGCTAAGGCAGCAAATTCCTGAACACTGGTGATTTTTTGCTTTTCTGGCTCTAAAAACTCCTTTTTTACTTTCACTTTATGAAGTTGAAAAATATTCAAAAATCTAAAATTAACAAAAAGCATGTGATACCACATTTAGAAGATCAGAAATTTATGAACGAAGTCGGTTCGGTCAAAAACAGAGCGTAAAGTCCGAGGTTTCTTTTTTTGTTCTACACTGGGAGGGTCCGTCTAAGTAGTAAACCACAACTATGCTCAAAATATTTTCCAACCCTTCCCCTGCGGGAAGCATGTTTGGGCTTGTCTCCCTTACCGAGTTGTCACCAGTGCATCTTGACCCGGCCTAGTTGGCATGTTAGTTTGGCGAGTAGTAAAAGTCGACTCATGTAAGCCAAACTAGAATAAAAAGGGCTCGATAGGGAAACTGATAGGTCGTTTTTTATAAACTTAAGGTTGCTAATGAACTGCTGGTCAGTTGAACCGCGAAAGGCTACACACAGAGTGGAAATTGATATAAGGTATTCTTATGGGTAAGGCCCAGTGAAAAGATTAATGTATAACCAATTTAAAATTCCCCTCTCTGGCGATGAGAACCACGAATATGACGATAATGTACTCGTAAATGCATTTACAAGAATCATCAACATCAGAAGACTGGGCAATTACTCACAACTGAGCTATTAGGATGTTGGTCTCAGCTGTTTTGTGCCATATTGAAGTTTTCCATCCAAATTCGAGGCAATATTGATGTCTTATCGGCTGATCGTGATTTTGCGCGAGAGAATTCCAGAATGAGACCAGTGGTTTGAAATAACAGCAGTATATCGTGACAGATAACGAAGTTGGCACTTGGATGAAACTCAACAAATGTTACTGGGCCTTTCTATAAAAGGACTTAAAACTGTGCCTGCTCGCTAAGACAATTAATTTTACAAACTGCTAAGAACAACAACCATCATTATCAGACACCTCACCTTAAGTCCATGATTCGCACAAAAGGCGCTTAAACAGGTCGAAGAATCTTCATTTAATACTTGGATAAGTGGTTTCACCCCAAAATCGACAAGTGTGACCCTGAAAAAGTATGTCTGATAACTTTGCCTAATCTAATCTTAACAAACATTCCTTTGTGAGGAGAGATGATGTCTGCACTTCTGACAGTAATACCTAAAAAAATCGCGCACTGTTCACCAAAGTGCAGCATCAGGGAACTCAAGGTCCTTCACTGGACGATTTTGGTTCCAAAGTTGACCCGTAAATCCCGCGTCTTAAAAAGATTTTTGCCACACAAGAAGTCTTCTTGAATATGTACTGCGACGAAATTTCTCTGATTACACAAGCGTCATATTGCACTATATAAACACAGAACAGATTAATAGGGAAGTCTATCAATACTCGTTAAGGATTCAGTGATGATCTTCCAGCGTTTTTCTTGAAACTTGTCACTAGTCGGTAAGAGCTAAAAAAAGTATAGCTGAAAGCAGAGGGCATTCACGGTCCAATCTATCAAGCCTTCAACGCCCACATTAGGAATGTTTCCCAATTCAGGAATGTTGTGAAAGTTATCACGGAAAACAGATTAGTTCTGTGGTTATAGGAAACCTATCGGCGCCATGCGACACGGTGATTAATTGGATTAAAGCAGCCATATTATTCATAGACTAGTTTTATCGCGGTATCTCGGTTCGGGGTTGAGGACGATGGAGAACAATTTTAACCCGAGGGCTTTTCAACATAAGAACTTGAGATAATTCACTTGAGAAACGTAAAAACCAAAACAAAGGGTACTCGACTTTTTTAGTTTATTTTCGGTAAGTAACAATGAACGTGCTTTTACCAAACGCCCGGGATGTGAAGTAATGTGAAATTTTGTGAAACTCTGAAGTTTTGTGGTGCGGAGTTACAGATTATATTTCTTACGTTGTATGTTGTGTTTATCAAACAGGTTAAGCGCGACCACTTTGGTAATTTTTCTCAGTATAACTTGCTTTTAAATCCTTGACTTTGTACTGCAACCTGGGTCTTTTGTCGGCGTATCTCCAGTTTTTATCCATATGTCAGCTCAGGAAATCGGAAATGGCTATTGTACGACAGTCACACCGAGTTTCTCTTGACCTCACGTCAGTTTTCTTTATCACGCGTTGTCCTTTTATCAACAAAAGATCCTCTCTCGGTAGATATCAGCTTTAAAATCTTGGGATTCTGTTGAGTTGCACTCGTTCTAAACTTCTCTCAAGCACTGAACTTGATTTGATCATTTCACCGGCCTTTTCAGCCGTTGTCATGCGAAAAATTCGGGGGAAACGAGTATCGGATACAGTTTAGCTTGTTAGCATAACAACACATCGGGTGAGCGAAACACAATCAGGCTTTTCACTTCAAGGGAATTGCACCCCGCTAAACAAATACGATGTAGCGCTATAAACATTCAGGCGTAACCCGCGACAATTTCCGCTGTGCAAAGTGTGCGTTGGCGTCGTTTGCGGCAAACTTGCCTAACATCTGTGATTCTCTGCAGGAATATCGCCGTTAGTACACAGTGAGAATTTAACAACAGCCATCGATTACCAGTAGTTCGAGTTTGAAGGTCACCGGCCTCTAGTGTTCGACATCATCATGGCTAACAATCCTTTACCATACAGAAGACTTTTATGGGGAGTTGCCTTGCTGTTACTAGCTACGGATACGGTGAGTTTCTAAACATTTTTTTTCCATCACATTTCAACGCCTGCTATGTCAATGCCACACGCGCGTTATGAAATTTTTGAGAGATGATGGAAATCAAGTCCGTGAGATTCGTAATTTTCATGAAATAAGGCTTTAAAAGGATTTATGTCACATCTGTGCGGGGCTCTTAAATGAAACCAGCGATGTCTTTTTTATTAGCTGTCTTAATAATCTATAGAGGCTCATAGATTTCTGTTATAGATATACAGCGATCGAGATGAAAACGCTGCTTGAATTTAAACAGCTTTAATCCCGCTTGGCGCAGTCACAAAATACCTCTCCGCCAATTCGGCTGGTTTAGTGGACACCATTTAAATGGGGAAACTCCAGTTGAAAAGCAGGTTGTCATATCAGTAAAGTTTCCGAATTTCATTGCTCCGGGTAAAAGCTAATGAATTCCTAGGGACATTTGAGACGTCGTGACATGCAGGTGTTGTGATCGTCTGTCCCTGTCGCGCGACGAGCATTTAATCCACACAAGGCTGAAATATTTCGAATTCAAAGTAACGGAAAGTAACTTATGTTCTTAATATAGAGGCTGACAGCGGTACATAATCTGTGTAAAACAAACACGAGCAATAACGCGTTTTGTTTACATTTGAAGGGTATTGCATCGGTAGCTTTCCGATAGAGTGTTTTCGTAATGACGCTCCAGACTTTATCGAGGTCAAAGACGCCGGCATGTTCTTTGAGGCAAAAAAAAAAGTTAAAAAATTCCCGAAACGTTTGAACGTCGATGGTTCGACTTGCTTCCAGATGAAATTACTAAACTTGTTGTCTTTGACCTGTAAATTGATTTGGATTTGAACTAACGAGTTACAACGACACACATGTATTTTGTGCAAGTATGTCACACGTGCGTGTTGTTGAGAGAAGGTTCACTGTCATGATTTTCACACCAGAACTTTTAAAAAGTAGTTATCATGCAACTTCCAAAACCAAAAGACTGCAGACTGTACTCGCTTCCCTTATCTGTTTGCAACATAGAGAATAACCACCTTTGCTCGGATCTCGATTTTCCATAACTAAGCATTCTCGCACCGGAAATTGCTTTGTTTGGTGGGGCCAAAACTGTCTTTAGAGGAAAAACGCCTACTTCACAACTCAGCTGGAGTAGTGTGATTTTATTGCACATTCATTCTTGGACAAAGCACTGACGTAATAAGATCCTAGACATTTAAGCCCAAGGAAAATGGATTTGATGAAGTACAAACAGCCATAAAGGAAAACCATCGCTCGTCCTGGGGGATACTTTCCGGTGTATGTGTTTCTCAAGTGGAAAAAGTGGTTTTCCAACTCCAAACATTACGAAAAACCAACCATCAAAAGCTCCGCTTAAGCTTAAACCCTCCACAGATGTGAGCCGACAACAGAATATTTCCAGGCCGGGCCTTAAGGAGTCGTTGAAATTCAGACGCCATAATTTTTCCCTATTTCTGCTTCATACGATCGCATTATGAACATTTAAGTAGGTTTCTTGGAAGGTTACGTTTAAATACCCTCAAATGTTCCACATCGCAGGAATATGATTAAAGTCGATTCCTCAGAGATCAAAGGGGAAAAGCCTAAAAAGCATTAAAAAGCAGTCTGGTTTGAGAAACAGGAAACTTTTGCTGCAAACTAATGAAAACTATCGTTTTTGAAGAACAGGCCAGCGAGAGTGTCGGAGTTCTTTCCGGAATGTCAAGCCTTTTGAGAAAAGAAAACATTTCTAAACGTTCCGCAAGGTTTTGTTTATTAAGCAAGCTCCTTGTAATGAGTTATTTATTTTAGGAAACAGGATGTCTGCATACTTCTATGTCGCGAAAATAACTGCACCCATTAAATCTGACTTTCTTTGTTAAAACAATCGACCACCTAAGGAAATCTCTAAAACAGATTTTGGTTAAAAATGTCCAAAGCTGATTGTGAGTTATTCCTTAAACTTGTTCACACGCAGCTTGCGATAATCGAAACTCTGATCGATTGCAGACTGTTTGGTTTGGCATGAAAGCATTTTCTCGTCATTTATGCAGAGCGAAATGTATTTATGATATTTATGTCAACAGTAAAGTGTAAATACCACTTTAGGTTTGCCTTAATTAACGGATTTGTAACGACTGTTATCATTCGACGACTGCATTTCATTCACACTGATGAAACATGTCTGCGGACAACGGAATTGAAAACTGTACGTGGCACGGAAAAAAATTGCCTTGGTTTTGTTGTAGTAAGCCGCAATATAACTACTGGGACAAATTCTTAAAGTTGTCGTAGAGGACGGATTTTAATGCTGGTGCTATCCTACGAAAGTGTTGTGTGTTAGTTCAGATGCGTGATTCCAGAAAGTTAATCCCGTTCTTAAAAGATAGAAGCCTTACTTGAATATGATCCGTTGTTATCTGTGAGATGCAAATTGGTATTTCAAGCGTTTTCGTGAAATCCCGTATCTTCATTTTCTGATCTGTACTCCGGCGCTTGCCCAATTCCCCCTGGATGTGGCTTTTGTGGCCGCCACACTGGGGGTAGGGAGAGAGAAAGTACATTAGGTGCCACAGGAGCGCGAACGGCGATCTTTAGGATCTGGATGGGACCCAGACCTCTCACAGATTTCAACGACAACGTTTCCTCACGCTTCAAGGAAGTACGGCTTTTTCTGTCGTGAACCATGCGTGAAAAAACTCCTCAAAACGGACATTTAGGTAACACGAGGAATCACCTAGGATTTTTTTCTTAGCATCTCTCACTTAAGGATGGTTTTCTTGAAAATACCCATGGAACAATATAAAATGTCCTTTGGGGCCGATTTCTCGGAATTGCGAAAGTCCAGTTCCGAAAATTAATGTTTGCTGGCCATGTTTATATTAAAGATCGAAATATCGTTAACTTTGACACACAAACAGTGATGATAACAGGATATGAAACAGAACATATTTGTTTTTTGGGCGAAGTCGAGCACTGGTATTCCTTGTTCCTTGGATGTAGATTTTGAAAAAATGGTAACGGGCCTGTTAAGTTACCGCCTTGAAGAAAAAGCTCAAGTTTTTAAGGACAAGATTTTCTTATTTAGAAGAAACAATTTAAAGCGAATTTCTATGCAAGCGAGTTCTTCTTTACATGTGTGGTTGACCAGTTTTGTTTGCAGTAAGGCGAACCTCCCCAATACGGACACAGTAGGGACATAGCTAAGTGTCCGAAATGGAGAGGTCTTTGTTTTATTTAATTCACAATGGCGGGTTTTCTTTTTTAAACTTTTCTGACGGCTTATGAATAACAGGCACATACACAAGCACACCGTGTGCTTGCGTATGTGCCTGTTAGGGCCTAAATTTAGCAATATACATTAGTGAGATTGCTAGATTTTGTGTGGCCGCGCGTAAATACGAAATTTTGTCTTCGTTGTTCGATACGAATTACAGATATTATCTACACGAGAAAATAAATTCGTATTCACATGCGGACAAGTGATCTTCTTTTTAAATTACAGATATTAATCACCTATGTAAATCAAACGCATTTTTGAAAACGCTATTTAAGAGCAGCTAATGAAAGAATAACTCGGTACTTGAAAACTCGTTTCCCAGCTCTCTTCAACTGTAACAAAAAAAGGTTCTTATTAAAAAAATCTTAGCAACGTACTTAAATTAAAAGACAGCCCTTCTTAGAAAGACAAATACTAAAGCTAACTAATTAAATATTTAACTCCCACGATCTCTGGTTGCCATACATTTCCTTGTATATTAGTTACAGGAGTTTGTTGTTAGATCAAGCTAACAACTTCTACCTGACAGGTTCGAGTGTTCTCATTATCTGTTTGCTGAATAATGTATGGCTAATTATAGGGAGAAGTTTCATGTTGATAACTTCTGGGAGTTAAAAGGTTAAATGGATTTGTTCCACTGACCTATTTACGAAAGTTTGTATAAAATCACTACCATTGCAGGAGGAAAGGGCATTTCCAAGAAATCCAGAATTCATCGCAGATGACGATCTGCTAAATCAACCGGAGCTAGAGCCTGTTTACAACGGTAAGAAAAGAAGTAACGTGTCAGAATTGATCTTGTTGTCACCCTCTATTGTAACAATTGTTTTTATTGGCTTTATTTAGAGTTTTTTATAACCTGGTGTATTTCAAAGGCAGGGGGAGGAAGTGGGTGGTGGAGGGGTGGGGACTGAGGGGAATAAATTGTAACAAGGCCTTGATACCTTGCGACTCATTTATTACGCTCAAGACAGTTCTGGCCCAATCAACTGCGTTGTTCCTTCGCAGCATAGGAAATTCTTGATGTGCACGCATTTCCGTACTTTGTTATTCATCTGTATTAAAGGGAAAATTTTTTCCAGTATTAGCTGCGTAAACAGCAAAATACTCTGAGTAATGCTTGCTTTTTGTAAAGGATATTAACTGAACTCCCACATGTTGACAAATGTGAGGATGAGGGCGCTCCCCAAAGTTTCCCGTCTTTTCGTCTCGTCACAAGGGTTCGACAAAGAGATGCTTCGAAACCCCTGAAAAACAAACCTCAGACCTGCGAATTTCTCGCTGCGACTTTCTGTAACTGAGCCACAGAGACTCTCTGGGAAACCGGGCATTACTGTAACACGCGTTCCGCATACTGCATAGAAACGATTGGAACCTCAGACCCTCTTTTTTTGCACTTCGATATTTTAATTCATAACCTCGGAGACTCTAGGGTAACTTAAGACATCAGTCGGTTCATATGTGGCAGAGATCACTTAACTTACTCCTTCTTCAATTGTCTTTTGCAGAGGGAATGTTAGTTGGTTACTCTCCCATTCAAGACGATTCAAGTGGTGTAGGCATTGAAGTCATAACTTCTGCACCAGTAAACAACTCTGAAAGTAAAACTCCACTTCTTCCCACACCAATAGCCACGGTGATAGCTAGCGAAACCCCGCCTCCTAAGCAAGCGCAGAAAGTTACCGATGACATAAGCGACAGCTTGGAAAATGGTGAAGATCCCTCTGAGCCCGGCACAGGCGACATAATAGATATCATAGATGTTGAACCAACTACTGCTCCTATAAGAAAACCCTCTACTAAAAAGGAAAGAACAGCAATTCCCCCAGTGGTTCAAACAACCAAACCAAACTCACAAAAAGGAAAAACAGAAGTTAGCCTTGCCACGGATGACATTATTGACATCGTGGGAAATGGAGCAGAACCAACCGAGCCTTCAATTGACTTCACAGACGTTAAGCACACCACAACTGAAGGACAAACAACAGCTGGACCTACTGAAGGGAGGACGACAGCTGTGCCCACTGAGAAACAAACAAAAGTTGTAAAAATAACAGCGGCACCAACGGTAAAAGTTACCACAGGTGCACTAACAGAGGAGGAAACAAAAGCTGCACCGACTGAAGGAAAAAAAACAGTTGCGCCAACTGACGAGGTACTCACAGCTGCACCAACTGAGGAACAAAGAACGGCTACACCAACTGAGGGAGAAACAACAGCTCCACCACCAGAGGTAATAACAACAGCTGCACCAACTGAAGAACAAAGAGAAGACACAACTGAAAAAGTGCCTACAGCTGTAAAAACAGAAGAGAAAATAACAGTACCAGCTTCTCAAGAAGTTACAACGGCCACGCCTTCTGAAGAAGAAACAACAACTGCACCAACTGAGGCAACAACCACTGCACCAACAGAAGATATCAAAACTACACCTACTGAAGAACAAACAACAGCTGCACCTTCTGAGGAGGCAACAGCAGCTACTGAAAAAAAAACAACAGTTGAACCTACTGAAGAGCAAGAAACATCTCCACCAAGTGAAGAACGAACGACAGTTACACCAACTGAAGAACAAAAAACAGCTGCTCTAACTGAGGAAGAAAAAACGATAGCATCTACTGTACAAGAAACAACAACTGCGATTGATGAAGACAAAACGACAGCTGCACCAACTCAAAAGGTAAATACAGATGAGCCTACCGAAGAAGAAACAACAGATGCACCAACTCAGAGAGTAACAACAGCCCAACCTACGGCTGTATCAACCACGGAAAAAACAACAACTGTGCCCCTTGAAGAAAAAACAACAGCTGCACCAATTGAGGAAGAAAAAACAGCTGCACCAAGCGAAGAAGAAACAACCGATGCACTAACAGGGGAAAAAACAAGCGCAGCACCAACTGAGGAAAAAATAACCGCTGCACCAAAAGAAGAAACAACAACTGTATCAACTAAGGAGGTGACAACTGCTGTACCAACTGAGGAGGAAATAACCGCCGCACCAACTGAGGAAAAAGCCACACCCACACCTACTGAAGAAACATCAATAGCCGCATCAACAAAGAAAGAAAAAACAACTGCACCAACTGAGAAAGAAACAACGGCTGTACCGACAGAGGAAGAAACAACGGCTGCACCAACCATGGAAGGAACAGCAACTTTACCAACTGAGGAACATACAACGGCTGCACCAAATGAGAAAGAAACAACAGCTCCAGCTTCTGTGGATAAAACAAACACTACGCCAACTGAGAGGGAAACAACAGCTGCAACAACTGAGGGAGCAACAAAGCCTGCACCAACTAAAGAAGAAACAACAGCTGCACCAACTGAAGAAGAAACAAACGCTGCATCAACGGAGGAAGAAGCAACCCCGGCACTCATTAGCGAAGCAACAAAGGCTGCTCCCAATAAGGAAGAAACGACAGCTACACCTACTGAAGAGGCAATAACAGCTGCACCATCAAAGGAAGTAAGGACATTTCTACCTACTGAAGAAGTAACAACACTAGCACCAATTGAGGAAAAAACAACAGCAATACCAATTGAGGAAAAAACAACTGCAGCACCAGCTGAGGAAAAAGCAACGGCTGCAGCTACTGAAGAAGTGACAACATTTCTACCTACTGAGGAAGTTACATCTCCACCTAGTGAAAAAGTGACAACAGCCACTTTAACCGAGGAAGAAACAACAGCTGCACCAACTGAGGACGATACAACAGCTACACCAAAAGAGATAAAGACAACCGCTGCCCCATCTGAGAAAAAAACAGCTGCACCAACTGAGGAAGCAGTTACAGCTGCACCAACAGAGGAAGCAACAACAGCTGCACCAACAGAGGAGGAAATAACAGCTGCACCAACTGAGGAAGAAACAACGGCTGCCCTCTCTGAGGAAGCAAAAACAGATGCACCAACTGAGGAAGAAACAACAGCTACCTCAAAGGCAAAAAAACCGAGCGCAGCATCCACTGAGGAAGCAACAACTGCTGCACCAACAAAGGAGGAAACAACGCTCGCAGCAACTGAGGAAGAAACAACCGCTTCCCCATCTGAGAAAAAAACAACTGCTGCACCAATTGAGGAAGAAACAAAACCTACCCCAAAAGAGAAAAAAACAAGCGCTGCACCAACTGAGGAAGAAACAACGGCTGCTCCAACTGAAGAAATAACGACAGCTACACCAAATGGGGACGAAGTAACAGCTGCCCCTACTGAGGAAAAAACAACGGCTACATCAACTGAGGAAAAAAGCACTGCTGCTACTACTGAGGACGTGACCACATCTTCACCTACCGAGACGGTAACATTTCCTCTAAGTGAAGAAGTGACAACAGCTACTTTAACTGTGAAAGAAACAACAGCTGCACCAAAAGGGGTAGAGACAACAACTGCCCCATCTGAAAAAGCAATAACAGCTGCACCAGAAGAGGAACAAACAACAGCTGCACCAATAGAGAAGGAAACAATGACTGTACCAACTGAGGAAGAAACAACCGCTGCCCCATCTGAAAAAGCAACAGCTGCACCAACAGAGGAGGAATCAACTGCTACAACAACGGAAGAAGCATCAACGGCTGCACCAACAGAGGAGGAAACAACATCTACTCCAACTGAGGAAGAAACAACCGCTGCTCCATCTGAGGAGCCAACAACAGCTGCACCAATAGAAGAAGAAACAACAGCTGCACAAAAAGAGGAAAAATCAAGCACTGCACCAACCGAGGGAGCAACAACAGCTGCACCAACAGAGGTAGAGACAACGTCTGCACCAACTGAGGAAGAAACAACTGCTGCCCCATCTGGGAAGGCAACAGCTGCACCAACAGAGGAGAAAACAACGTCTGCACCAACTGAGGAAGAAACAACTGCTGCCCCATCTGGGAAGGCAACAGCTGCACCAACAGAGGAGGAAACAACGACTACACCAACTGAAGGAGCATCAACAGCTGTACCAACAGAGGAGGAAACAACAGCTGCACAAAAAGAGGAAAAAACAACTGCTGCCCCATCTGTGAAAGTAACAGCTGCACCAACAGAGGAGAAAACAACGGCTGCACCAACTGAGGAAGCATCAACAGCTGCACCAACAGAGGTAGAAACAACAGCTGCACCAACTGAGGAAGAAATAACTGCTGCCCCATCTGGGAAAGTAACAGCTGCACCAACAGAGGAGGAAACAACGGCTGCACCAACTGAGGAAGCATC